GTAGCTAGAATTGGATAGCATACTAGTGCTTCACATATGGTCTATATATCTATGGTAGATTTATTATGTCACTATACTAGCAAATTATCGGTTTTATGGTAGCGATTATTGTATCCCATTTTTTTAAGTATCACAGAACGAATATTTGCAAAAACTCTCCTCCGTTGCTTGAATTCCTTTAAGCCTGACTTTTGGCTTAAAGCGTTTTGATACTCTTGTATTTGATATGAATGGAATAATTTCTATGAATAATTGAGCTTTTGAAATACTAAGTAATTTTGAATGCCTACTCAAAGGAAATGTTTTGAAATTTTGCAGTTCTTCAAGAGTGGATTTAGCTGCCTTATAAAAAGAAAGACAATCACAAAGCAAGGATCCTACTTCGACCTGGATGTTTCACATATGCTATGTGGATGACTGTAAAAAATAAAGATAGGTGCCTATTTCAATAGTCTCTAGCGAATCATATACTGGGACCTTTAAGCAGACATCTATGGAAGCAGTAAAGCGTACTAATTATTTCGTTTTTCACTTTCAATTGGTTTGTATGATCGGAAGCCCATATGAGAACTGAGATAAAGAATACTAGTAGGTTATAAAACAAAAAATGACCAAATCCACTGTATGTCTACTAAGCATACGCCTAGTGTTTTATTTTGCACACCAAGTGCTGCAGGTGCATATTTTTAACTTTAGTAAGCCCTAGAGATGCAGGGAATGAAGCGTGTTTTTAACTTGAGATCCAAAGGGTTCATGTTGTGCTTCTCCAGGTGCTGAGACCTACAGATCAGTATAGGTTTTGGTACATCTCGCATCATACAGAGGAGGAAGTTATATCCTTAATACATAACTATATTGGTGCCGGCGGAAATTCTTAGCGATTTGCAATGGGGCGCTGAACAGCACTGCTACAGTGGTTTGTATGTCTCATCATTGATAACTTAATGTTAAATTCGTCACTTGATTATGAAAAGTAGATATATATAATTAAAAAAGGGGTTAGTTTGTGGTTGGTCCTATTTATCCGTACATATATAAGTAGTCAGCCTGGCGTCAACCACCAGCAATTGCAAGTCTGGATTATAGTTTTTTTCTCATGATTTTTATGCGTAAAGAATCTTCTTAAGTATTAGTTAAATATTTAATCTAAAAAGCTTTTAGTAAAAATTTTTTTATTATTTAATTTTATTAATTATTATTTATATTTATTTTATTAAAATAATATTACCCATAAAATATGTTTTATATATTAATCTAACAACTATTTTAATTAATTATATCTGGAACAATGGCATTGTCGATAAAATTTAATACATCCATATATAAACAATAAACAACAATTACGCAGCTAATCTTGAATTTAATTTGCTTTATATTGGCATGTAACTAAATAATCCGAATGAAGGAATATTAAAAAAAAAACTAATTTGAATAGAATATATGTACATTAAAGTGCATAAATATTAGGAATAAACAATAAAACTTAGTATGCATCCTGCAATATTCCCAATTATGCAATGACGCATACATGCATCCATTTGCATATCCTTTCGCATCTAATGCTCAATTAAATAATAATCAAAAATGTTCATATATACATCCGTGTATTCATCTATCTTGTAAGAAATGCACTGTAGGTATAAAGATATTTTGGGATAATATTTAAATTTCCATTTTGCTTGGGTTCCTTTGCATATCGGTGAAATCAGAAGTTTGTCTGTTTGTTTGCTTCATTTGTTTGAAATTTATTAAGAGAAATCTCAACTCAAATTGCAATTTTCTATGTTGTAGTGCTTTATAAAATATATTTTCCTATGGATACTTGTGGTGTAACAAAGACATATAGTTTGTATATACTGTTAGTTTTGTACTATTGAGTTATATCCTCGAAAGCCTTCATAGCAAACGCAAAACACAAATGTGTCTATCAAGTTATCCTGCCAAAGAAGTTTTAATACTGATATTGAAAATTACTAATAAATTTGATGTCGTGCACAAAATATCAATTTAATGCCTTTGCGTGCAATTTCCTTATTCAGTATCGAATTTTAGTTGATATACAACAATTACTTTCATATCGGAGCAGATTATCAGTAGAACAGATTCGATTTAATAAAAATAATAGAATTAATTTTAAAAGCATAAATGCGAGTCAAATGCATACGTGATGCCAACAAGGATGCAATCATTTTTTGAGTGCGCTACCAATTAAGGAAGCATAGTACCTTAACGATGGATTTTATAGGGAAAACTTAAAATGTCTATGTCCGAGATATACTCATGTATATGACTGATATATAATATGAATATACGCGGGCGATTTGATAAGTCAGTGACTATTTGAATTTACCGCGCAGTTGCTCCAAATGCAATAGTGCTTCCGTCAGCTGTATTCTACCAGTGGGCAACTTTTTAATTTTGAGCAAGTTACGTCATTTAGTGGGTGTTTGATAACCGTTCAAAGCAAACAACCTCGTGAATTTTTACGAAAATGGAAAGAAGTGAATTTCGTGTGCTGATTAAGTATTGTGTCCAAAATCCACGAATTGGTATACTAACTGCTACCCCATCCAGCATATTCTCCAGATTTAGCCCCCTGCGATTATTTTCTGTTTCCAAACCTAAAGAAACGGCGAAATTCACTTTTTTCCATTTTCGTAAAAATTCACGAGGTTGTTTGCTTTGAACGGCTATCAAACACCCACTGAACGACGTAACTTGCTCAAAATTAAAAAGTTACCCACTGGTAGATTACAGCTGACGGAAGCATTGTTGCATTTGGAGTAATTCACTAACTTATCAAACCACCCTCGTATATAATATATATTGTGAATATAAGTTTTAATTTAACGTCAAATTTTTCAGACGGAAATGACTATTAGATATAATAGAAACTAGTATATTTCTTAAAAAGGTTTTTTCGAACAGTAGTGAACCACAACAACAAAAATTCATTTTATATTATTTTAATTAATTGAATTTTTGGCTGACCATACAGCTGTTTCGAGTATTGCGAAATACCCATCATCAGTGGTCTTGGAAATAATTCTTGTATTTAATTATTCTTGGATTATAACTTTCTAAGACTGCAATTACTAGGAATCGAACTCACGCCCTGACAAATTTGAAGCTCAGAGTCAGCGCACCTTAACCAATTGACCGAAAGCCGTACTTAACTTTGCATGTTCGCACATATTTCTGGAGTTTTATTATTATTAATATAATATGTATATATAATATTGAAGTTATAATACTAAAACAGCATCTAATATTATAAGAGTATATTGTCTTTTTTTAATTAAATATAATTTAAAAACAATTTATAACTTAAAGAATATTTAGTTTAAATTAAACAAATCTATATAATAATTTATTTTAATTAAAAATAATTTCGTAATTTGTATATAATTTAATATAATTCATTATAAAGCAAAAATATATATTCTAATTATACAATACTTATATAGCTAAATTTTCCATAAATTAATGCGTGTATGACCAACTATAGTTCTCTTTAAATTGATCTCATCTGCCTTAGAATTTGTTCCTTTCCTCGTTATTGCATTTTAATTAAATTTATTTAAATGTTTTGCCTCAACAATGCTCATGTTATTTTAATTTTACAAATTGTTAGTACATATTTTGCATTTGACAAGGCTCCTCTCAATGGTATTGTTATAAACTATTATGGCATAAATTCATTTTGTGAAGAATTTTTAAAATATTTTGCAATAAGGATAAAGAAGAGTTGCTGTCCTTTAAGGCCTTGTTTTGTATAAAATGTTTCAGTTTAGACACAAACTATGAGAATGCCAGTTTCGTTACTTTTAATAGAAGAAAAGAAAATTAATTATTTCTAGATGGTATCCTTTCTTACAGAAACTACTGACAGTATTTGAATCAAAGTTTTAAAGTTTGCAATATGGGTTAAATATTTAAAATGAAATTTATTTTGTATTATATTTTCGGATACCTTACAAATATCATAAATTTTATATAAAAAGTGAACAAGAAATTATACTAACATGTAATTTATTATTTCAGAATTCGCTATAAAATATTTTTTTTAAGTTGGTAGCACTGAATTGTTTACTATGCTTTACTAAGCGCGTTGCAGACTATCATTTTTAAGACTATCATTCACATATCACTGTTGCTCAAATTTATTCTAGTGACGGAACCTGGACTTGCTCACATTCAAGAGTTGTCATTTAAGCAAAATTTTTGTAGAATAAGGGTGTTTACGCACGCTGTAAGTGTGTTTCGTACGCTGTAAGTTTGTTAGTGCAACCACTTGGAAATTGCTCTTGAATAACGAATGCAATTTTTTGGATGACAGACCATCATTCACAACATGTTGTCGAGATTGATATGCTTACCAAAATTTGGGTGAACACAACAACATGTTGGTTGCGTGTCATTAAAAGGTGCAGACTATCATTTTTTAATATTATTCTTATATTTTCTCTCTTGAATGACACTCAAAATTAATAGGCTTTACCGCGCATTAAGAGCTATTAACTGTTCAGTATTACGTTAGCATAGCGGTTATACTATTGAGCACATATCGGATAGGTAGTATGGATTCAGAAGGGGATTAAGGAATAGATAGAATAAAAGGAAATAAAACTATAATACAAAACTCAATTGAGCTACAACAACTCTGCCAAAAAATTAATGATTTCAATGTATAATTTTACTCCTAGGATTCACTTTTCCCTACTTATCTTCATAGCCAATTCTGGCTTCGACAGAATTTTAATTACTAGTTTCTGATCATCAATTAAATATATTTAATAGTGAGTATGACAGAGAGAGATAGATAAGGGAGCGAGAAAGAGAGAGAGAAAGAGGAAGTGAAGAATAGAGAGAGAGAGTGAAATTGAGAAGGAGAGAGGAAGAGAGATAGACGAAGAATGAGAGAAAGAGAGAGAGAGGGAAGGCATTCGAACTTAACTCAGGCTTTCTTGACAGTTTTGAATACTGATGCAGACTGATAAATGAATATCGCGCAAAAAGGTTTTGACTGTATTAAACCAGTTAGAGTAAGGTTATCATGCAAGCTTATCACTTGTATTGTGTAGAACTTATCAGAGGTGAGTATCCATATGCATACGTACATTAATTTAATCCCACATAAGCGTCTTCTAGTTTCGATTTAACTTATATTTAGTGGAAGGTTATTGTCTGTATTCTGAATGTTGTGATCGATAGGGTGTTGCTCTTTCGTTCCTGACCTATTAAAAAAGAATCAAATAAATTTTAAAAATGTTCATTAGAGCAAAATTTGAATAATAAAAATATTGTGTTGCCTTTACATTTCGACAGGAAATTCAATATTAATAAAACTAATAAAAAATGTTTACTTTACGAAATTATTTTGTAAAATCAAATAAATTGAGTTCAAGTGAAAGCCTTTTAAGTTTTGAAATAATTCAAATATTTTATAAATTTAAAATATACAATGAAATAATTCTATTTATGCATTTACGATACACACTTCACATGTTATAAGAGCTCGACTACTGCATAAATTGCACTCTCATGAAGTGCAAGTGCATATCGAAACGTTAGATTATTACTGTAAAAATTTATGTTGGAATATCCTCTTACATTTGTTTGCCACATATAGTACTTATAATTATTGACTATTGAATTTTAATAGAATTTTGCTTCATGTTTGAGAATTTATTCAAAAAAAATTTGAATTTTTTATTTTGAAAAATAGGTCATCAAACCACCAGGTTGGCAATGCTGCAATGGACATGTACTGTGCAATAATTGCCGCAGTCGTTCTGTCAAATGTCCTGTCTGCCGAGTGCCGTTGGGACCCAGAGGCAGGTGTCTGCTATCTGATAAATTGTTTACACTACTAGCAGACAATTTTCCATGTGATGGTGGTAAGTGCAAATTACGATTAAATACGAGTATAGATTCTAACTGGTAACTTATAATATTCCTTTTTTTTTTTAAAAAGCGTCAAAATTGCTCATTGATTTGATGTAGATTTATATAGAGAAACTAATTTTAAATGTATAAATTTAATATGAAATTTTCTTATTCACCGAACATGTATCAAATTTGCATTATTTTATTCAAAATTGTCCCAATTAAACTTGAATTTCGTATGGATTCAATTTTGTGTTCATCCCAGAATCTAAAAGTGATTACTTGTCTTGATGACCATAAAGGATAACGTAGAGCAAATTACTTTATTATTGCACACAGAATTAAAAATATCCTTACGTATGCCTTGACAGTGGACTCTTGGATATTTTTCTATTGGACAAGAAATGTTTAAACTCACATTAAATGTGTTGTCCTATAAGATTTGAGTTTATGCAAGGATAAAGGATTTGCATATGAAAATAAACTTTTTAATCGATTTTAAGACAATGTTATTATTTCTTTATAAAAGCAACTTTTTGGGTGCTTTTTAGATATATGTAGTTTAAATAATTTTTTAATTTGTATACGCATTTGTTTATAAAATGTTTAGGTCCTTTTTAAGTTCCAATGTATATTGCGCTAGGTTAGCATATTTTGTCTGGTGTTGAATTAGCCAGTACTATATCTTCATTAATGCAAAGACAGAGATTCATTAACTGTCGGGGATCCTGAGATGAATTCAAAAGACAGCTCACGTCTCGCCTGTGGATTTTCTGTTGCGCCGACTTAATATTTCAGTTGTGGTTTAAACTGATTGGAACAAACCAGAGTGTGTACAGAGTCACATTTAAGATGAAGTTGTAGAAAACTGAACTATGAAGTAATTGGGAATATATGGGAAATACTTATTTGTAACTTATTAAAACATATAAAAAAAGTTAATTGAAAACAACTGTAACTTTCGCTGCAGAGGGCTGGGAGAGGAGGGGTGTGTTTGCATTTCAAGACAAATCTTAATTTGATTTTATCACAGTTTTATAAATTTGAAGTTTGTTTTGCAGCAGTAGTTTCGAGTTGAACCCAAAGCATTGCCCAAGGAAAGTTTTTCAAAGGTACTCCTTTGTATACGGACCTCTATAGATTACCAAATGTATCTATCATACGCTTATATTGGTTTCATCACAATTTAATATATTTAAAGCTTTTTGTAGCTATAGCTCACTATTGATAAATAAAACATCACACATCAAGATTGAAAAAGTTAGGAAATTCGCATTTAAAATTCGCGCGCTGTATATTTTTCGATATTTTAAGTTTATGTAGTTTGGCAGCACTGTCCTTAATTACTATGCCAAAAATGAGCTCGATCTGTCAGACAGTTCGTTTACGGCAGCTGTTGAAACCAGTTCACCTCAGTAGTGCGTTGCGAAATGTCTTCGACGGTCGTACGACCGTCCTGGAAGGCTTTGTACCACTCATAAACTTGAGTTTTCGATAAAACTGATTCCCCATAAGCCTTTTGTAGCATTCGCAACGATTCTGCACACGAAATTTCGTTCGAAACACAAAATTTGATGCAAACTCTTTGTTCAATATTTTTTTCCATTGTTTTTTTCGCAACGCCCTACTGAGGTGAACTGGTTTCAACAGCTGCCGTAAACGAACTGTCTGACAGATCGCGCTCATTTTTGGCATAGTAATTAAGGACAGTGCTGCCAAACTACATAAACTTAAAATATCGAAAAATATACAGCGCGCGAATTTTAAATGAGAATTTCCGAAAACTTTTCGGTCTTAATGTATAAACAAGTTTGGAGGATGAGGAAACTTGCATATTGGAAACACGCCACTTATATGGTATTAACTTCCCAGAGTTGTATATCGTATGTCCATAATGATTTCTTTATAAATCTCTATATTATTTATATTCTTTATAAATCAAGATTTTGATTTGAAGTGATCGCTATCTATTGGGAGCCAAACTCTTACTTGAACGAATTTGTAATGGAAAGTTGTCAAGACCACTTCCTTGCATAAGTCTATAGTTTGTCATATATATATATCATATGGCAATATTGGTTTAAATGAAGTTTTATATATTAAGAACTTGTTTTATAGCGATAAGTTTAGCTTCGGGGCTGAACCTGTGCATGAATGAGCTTGGGAGTGGCACTTTGAACTCCAAAATCAGCACCTTTGATGCGCCCTTGATTTATACTGGGATTGCTAGATATGAATATCATAAGGGCATGTTCGCTTTATCACACTTTTGTAAATTAAGTTTTTATAGTAGCAGTACGAGTAGCAGAGAGATAGGGACCAAATCTTTACACAGATGAGTTTAGCACATCTGTCAAATGTTTCTGGACGCTTGGAATGCTTCTGATTTTCAGTTGAAGTGCTAGCTATGTACACCACACTCATATAGTGGTTGCATACATCAAGAGCTTGTTTTATGGTAATAGCTACGAGTTAGGTCCAATTCTCTATATGTATGATTTTTTGAGGAGTGCTTGAATCTCCCTTACATGCACCCATATTATATTCTTGGATTGCCAGCTATTTTCATTATCTTAAAGTATTTAGATAGTGTTAAGAAAGGATTAATAGTTTATTTTGTAGCGATTGTTGCAGATATGTATACGATACTCATATAGTGGTTCCATACATCAACAGCTTGTTTTATGGTAATAGCTCCGAGTTAGGTCCAATTCTCTATATGCATGATTTTTTGAGGAGTGCTTGAAACTCCCTTACATGCACCCATATTATATTCTTGGATTGCCAGCTATTTTAAAGTATTAAGATAGTGTTAAGAAAGGATTAATAGTTTATTTTGTAGCGATTGTTGCAAGTTGGGGGAAAAATTTCGATATAGCCGAGTATGGTGGAGTACTCGGCACTTCAAATCCACCCCATTGAATACGTCCCTAATTTTCATTTGGATTACCAGATGCTGGTAATGTTGGTATCGTTGAGTTTTTAAATTCAAGAGAGTGGGGTTTTATGATAGCTGCCAACCCGTTCAAGTGTCTACTTGGAACGGATTGCTTTAAGTATAGAAGAAATATGGTTTATTATAATTTCTTTATCATTTTCTTAACATTTGTTATCATTTTCTTATATCTTGTGTATTGTTTAGCTTTATTGTATTTTATGTTCCCAATTTTTTTTATCCAAAGTTTTTCTTCTGGAAGATTTTCTGCATTAATTTAATATTTTCTGTTGTTTTTGTTTTTTGAAACTAAGTGTTACCAACTTAAGATTAAGTGAAGTTTTTGCTTTATTACAACTTCCGTAACAACTTCCGGTGTTACAATTGCTGTTTGTGTTGTTGCTTTTCGATCATTGCCGCGTTACTTGCTCTGCCCTCATTTGCTATGTTTCATGAACAGCAGATTTACGTTGTAAATGAAAAATAAAAATAAAAAATATCTGAAAAAAAGCATTATTTGCTTTATTTTCTTAAAAAGTTTTTATTTTTATGATGTTCACTAACGAGGGCAAAGGACACTTCCAACTCTAATAAAGTTAAAATTGTGTAAACACTGCGAGAAAGAAGGACTTGGCAATGCATTGCATGTGGCAACTATGGCAGTGGCAATAATGGCGTAGTGTCCTTGGCATGGATGTGGAGTTCTGCACTTACGTCGTACTTGTTTACTCAACTACTCGTGATGGTATAATAATTAACTCATGCAGATAATTTCTTTTAACTACATTTTATTCTTAGAAACTCCAATTAAAATTTATGATACAAAGCTTTGAGAGTTTATTAATTAACTGTTTAGCTTAATGAAATTTTATTACTAGAAACTAATAAAAGTGAAGTTATAATGCACTTCTACGGTTTTGCTAGAAGTACACATGTGTATATGTGGGTTGTTATTAAATTGTAGCATTATTTTTGTAAATTAATTAATTATTTTAATTAAAATATAATATATAAAGCAATATATGAAGCAATTCTTTCTATTGAAGTCTTTTTTGCTTTGAATTAAAATATATTAAATAGAAGATAAACCACAAATATGGACAGAACATTTCCTTATATATATTAGTATTAAAATTTATTAAATTTGTTGTGATAGAGTTGAAATTTCAATAGCTAGATGTAAAGAATTTGAATGCATTTAATTGCACATTTAATTTACATATTCTCTTGTTAAAGAGAATAAAAATCTTTGATATAAAAATTCATAATTCGAAAGATATTTGTACCTTCAGTGTCCTTAATTTTATACATTTCACAGATTTTAAATTGCTCCATTGGTTCTTTATTAATATAGAAAAATATGATGTTAGAAATTTTGGGTAAGTTTACCATGCTTTCATCGTTAAACACTTTTATGGTACAAGAAAAAAAAACACTACTTCTGATGCTGCATGATACCGGTAATATATATACCTTCTGCTTAAAAAGTACTCGGATTTTGTAAATAAAACACACAAACTTTAATTTTATTACAGCTTTATTTAATTTCCTTCAAAATATGCTCCTTCTGAAGCGATACACATATGCCAACGCTCGTCCATACACTTTTCGTAGGCCCGTGCAGGTATGGCTTTTAGTTCCTTCGGTGAATTCTCTTCTACCGATTCAATCAGCTCAAAACGCTTATCACGAAGGGACAATTTGAGTTTCGGGAACAGGTAAAGTCGCACGGCGCCAGATCTAGCGAATATGGTGCCTGAGCGATGACAGTGATGTCGTGTTTGGTCAAAAAATCGCGTACAACAAGAATTTTCCATAGTAAAAATCACTAAATGTACTTGATGTAGTCTCACATTAACAGCTGCTGTAAACAAACTAATTGACAGATGGCAAGAAAGGGTGTACCAACATAACAAAAATAAAATTTTTGAAAAAGGTCTATTACTTAAGGAGTAGTTACCAAACAACAAAATCCGGGTACTTTTTGAGCAGAATGTATACCAAGGGGCTTAGAAGAATAGAAGGGCTCTCAGTTTGAATTATAATAATCCAACTTATTAGTTATTAGTCAGCAACTTATTAGGAATTGGTAAAAAATTTTCGATATTTTATTGAATTAGTGATGTTACATAGCATACCCATGTTATTATGTATTACTTTTTAAGGGAGTTATTAAGCAACAATGGTAGAAGTATCAAGTTGGCGATAAAAATTTTTTTAAAAAGCCATTCAGTAATACACCTTAACCATATTGGAAAATAGTAACAAGACTGTAAGATTTTTTAAATTACCTCTGAATACGCGCTCCGTATCATCATATTTGTTTAAGTACTGGGTTTGTCATATTAAGTGGATCTATTTATTTTACCAAAAAATATATGAAAAACTGCTCTATTACAAAAATTCCATAAGACTCATGTTTTAAAGCCGTTTTACCATTAGTCATTTTCATCTTCCTTATCAGTGTTATCAGTTACAGTGTTGCCAGATAGGTCGATCTAATGTGTTCAACTTTGTATATTTTGGTTTAGTTATTTTTCGATATTATTCTCACTGCATAATAAAGATTTTGAGGACGTATTGCAACAGTATGAGGTCATAGCACTTTGTATCCTACATAAAATTCGAGGACATTACCAATAATAACTAAATTTTTAATGAATAAAATATGTTTAATTAAAAGTATATTAATAAAAGCAAAATAATAATTACAATTATAATAAAAGTTGCTATATGAAAGGACAAACAAACAATTTGAAATTGTCATTGAAGTTTTAACAATAAAGCGACTTTTAATCCTTGTTCCTTAAATCCTTATTTTTAGTGGTAGCTCAGTCGATTAACGAGACAACAATGAGTTTCATACATAAGAATGGAAAGTGCGTTGACATCGTAAAAAGCAAATAAAATCCATTTCCACTTTATAACAAAATAACCAAATTGTCCTTAAAACTAAGCTAATTTAATTCTTATCCTCGTTCACATTGCAATGCAATTTAAACCAATCCAACCAACAATCATAGTTAATTCCAAAAATATTTTGATTTGACCCAAGAGCTTAGATTTATTTATGTAAATAGCAGGAAAGTCTCAATAGAAAGTTTGTGATGTGGAAAATGGAAACGAGACTGAACATTATCATTTAAAAGTTTATACAATTTTAATTAAAAATTTTAATATTTTGCTATTATCTGCATTTACAGTGAAAAGCAACAAGAGCACACCAACCCAGCAGAGGAAATGCACAGCGGATTATCATAATCACCCAAAGATGGCAATTGCAACAAAACCGTGCGAACAGCAACAATTTCAACAGCAAATTAAAACCAAAGAAATTAAGAAAAAGTTTAAATCCTTATATCGTCAACAGGAGCAACAACAACAACAACAGCAGCATCAACAACAACAACAGCAGCTGCAACAACAGCAGCGATGTCAGTCTCCACGACAAGAGCACAAGACTCATCAACAACAGCACAATTGCCAAGAAAAACTTAATAAAAATGGCAACACACAGGATGCGATGGTTACTGTTGTTGTGAATGATGTTGCTGTGGTGAAGAGTGTTGCAGAAATTTTGCTAAGAGAAGGGGAACAACAACAACAACAGCAACAGCAAGAACAACAAGAACAATTAAAAACAACAGTGCAATATAATTGTAAAGTTCCAGCCGAAACTAATAGCAACAAAAGTGACACAAGTAGAAGCAAAAATAACAACAACAATAACAATAATAGTATCTGGAACAGCAACAGTAGTTGCAATAGCAACAATGAAGCTGACACTGACAATAACATAAGCTTGCGGCGTAAAAGTCGAACAACCAAAGTCCATCAACATCAACTAAACGAGATGAAAATATTAAAAAGTCACGAGCAAAAGCAATTGCTTAACAACGACAAGAACAACAAGAACAACAATAACAACAACAGCAATAGAAACATTGACAGCAACAACAATGAAAGCATTTCTGATAACAATAACAATAGCCACAACGGAATAGCATTGTCCGTAAAAATGTCCAGTGCAAGTGTCAACAATACAGTCCAAGATTCTTATAACATTAATAGCAACAACAACAGCAATAGCAACAACAACAGGAACGCTTCCAACAATAATAACAACAACAAAAACAATGTTGATAGAGAATTGCTCGTTAAACACAAGTTAAAGTCAAACAGGAAAGCTACAGATTACTACATGTTCAATGTTGACGATGAGCAAAAGACGCATCACCACCAGCAACGGCAACAACAGCAGCAGCAGCAAGAACCAAGCAATAACTATAGCAGTAATAAGATTAGGGTCCAAAGTCACGAATTGGAAGACGATGAAGTTACAATTGTAAATAATGGAATGCCAACAAATAAACTACAACAGCGACAACAAAAACACCAACAACACCAACAATATCAACAACAACAAGAATATCAGCAACTAAATCAGCAACAACAATATCACAATTATCATTGCCCTACTGGGAAATCATGTAGTTGCAGCTACGTGAAAACTTCCGGCACTGCAATGGCAGTGACTAAGACAGCAATGGGGGT